GAGAGATCTCCAGGCCTCACCTGGAGGTTGGTAATCACACTGCCCAAGCATTCCCTGCCCATTACACACTACTGAAGACTCTATGCTACCAGTATCTGTGACAAAATAATACCATAGCTTATTCTGCACAGCTTTAAAAAAACCCTGAGGTGTTTATTTCTTATGCATGTACTGAAAAATCACGTGGGTTAGATCCGATGTAAATTTCCCAGTGGCAGGGTGAAGTTTGGCAACCTTTCCCATTGCAGCACTCTGATCTCCACAAAATGCTGTTCCTGGGGGATGGGGAATCCTAAGAAATGACATAAGGGGGTCTTCAGTGGGAAGGGGGACATTGGTGGAAATTGCCTGTTTGTCTGGGTCCAATGGAAGGAAGTTCAGTCTAAAAGTGGCCTTTCCTCCAGCAGAAGAACACTTAAGTTGGATGAAAGCTCTGAACTTTGCTTAGTGTAGGATATGGACAACTTATTCTGAAATAGATCACTAACCATTCAAACAGTATCTTGACATTTGCATATATCAAAATGCCAGCACCTTGGTTATTAATCTGCATTAAGACACTGAATGCATCCATTACACATTCCACCTCTACTCAGAGATTTAGGTGCTAGAGACCCTGAGGAAGAATGTGAACACATAATGAACAGTAGTTCTCCAAGTGCATGCGACCAGTCTGTCTCCAAAGATAACAATTGGAGCAGTGATTTCCCCCCTCAACCGCAAAAGGGTCAGAGAATAGGGGCTATCCCTGGTAAATAAGGATAAATGGAGCATCTGTTTTATATCTGCCACATGGTAGAGGAGCCCTTCCTTTCCCCTGAATTAGGCTCTGTCACCCCTGCACACATTTTTCTAGTGAAAGGTGTAGGCAACTCCTGGCATGCAAACCAAACAGCAGCACACCAGATCACCTGCAGTTGGTTGTCTACCCAGGGGATGGATGCAAGCCCCTGAGGTGCTGGCAGTGGTGCTGGGGCTCAGTTTGCTCCTAGTATGTTTGGCAAGGTATAACTCCTGCTTACTCGCTTGCGTCCTCCCCCCCCCCCCCCCCGGTTCTGATATCTTCATGGTTGGATATTGCAGGTCTTTTGACATTTAGGCCAAAAATGTTGCCTACTCCTGGCCTGCAGAAAAGAGTCTATACTTATTTTATTGAAAATGAACTTGAAAGAAAAGAGAAACCCCGCAGGAAATGACTTCTGGAGGAATGAAAATAGCTGCCTTGTGAGGCAGCCATCTTTGGCAGAAGACTTTGTGCATCATTAAAAGTGGCTGGGTATGGTTGCCAACCCGCAGGTTGCACCTGGAGATCTCCCACTATTATACTTGATCTCCAGACAACCAAGATTGGTTCCCCTGGAGAAATGGCTGCTTTAGAGTGTGGAATCTGTGGCATTATATCCCGCTGAGGTTCCTCCTCTCCCCGAACCCCACCCTCCCCAAGCTCCACCCCCAAAATCTTCAGGTATTTCCCAACCCAGAGTTTCCCCTATGATGGGAACTGGGTAGATCTGAGTAGATCTGATCCATAAGTTATGAGCTGCTTGGATGTTTCCTTGTCCATGCTGGCGGGGGGGGGGGGGGGGGGGGATAGGAGGGAACTTTCCGGGAGCAGGGTGGCGCAACGTGATGCGCTGACGTCATGTGGAAGTGACATCTTCCCGTTGGGGATGTTGCATGGCAACACTCTTGGGTCAAAACTCTATGGTAAAATCAGCATCAGACAGTAGAGTTTTGCCCCCAAACCCAGAATGTCACTGTGCGACGTCTCCCACACAATGACGTTACTTCCATATGATGTCAGCATATCGGGGACATTGCTGTTTGGGGGCAGGGTTTCTCCTCCGGGCAGAAGCCCCCAAAACCAGGGGATCCCCAACTCAGAACTGGGGAATGGCTGCCCTACTCAGTAGAGTACAATACCGCAGAGTCCACCCTCCAAAGCAGCCATTTTCTCCAAGGGGATTGATCTCTGTAGTGTGGAGATGCTCTATAAGTCCAGGGGATCCCCGGGTCCTACCTGGAGGCTGGTATCTAGATCAGGAATGGCTGACTGGCAGTCCAAAGTACTCTTGTAGGACAGCATGCCCCTGCCTCCTGGCGCCTGAATTGTTTGTTGATTGAGGTGCAGAAAACAATTTTGTTGGTACCCATAGATCTAAAAGGTAAAGGTAAAGGTTCCCTTGCTCGAAAGCCAGTCAAATCCGACTCTAGGGTTGCGGTGCTCATCTCCGTTTCAAAGCCGAAGAGCCAGCGCTGTCTGAAGACGTTTCCGTGGTCATGTGGCCGGCATGACTGAACACCAAGGCGCACGGAACGCTGTTACCTTCCCACCGAAGTGGTACCTATTTATCTACTTGCAATTTCTTGCTTTCGAACTGCTAGGGTGGCAGGAGCTGGAACTAGAGATGGGAGCTCACTCCGTCTTGCGGCACACCCGGGTCTCGAACTGCTGGACTACTGACCTTTCACAGCCTGCAGCTCAGCGTCTTAACCACTTGAGCCACCGCAGCTCCATACCCATACATCTACTTATTCATATATGCCCCACCTTTCTCCCCAGTGGGGACCCAAAGCCGCTTACATCATTCTCCTCTCTTCCATTTTATCCTTGCAACAACCCTGTGTGGTAGGCTGGTCCAAGGCTACCTAGCTAGCTTACAAAGCAGAGTGGGGACTCAAACCTGGGTCTCTTGGATCCTGGTCTGACACTCTAGCTACTAAAAGGCTGCCTCTTGAGATGGTCTTTAGGGGACACATTTCATTTCTCAGTCCCTGCAGTTGCTGACTTCTTATCCTCTGAGCTGCCCATGCATACCATATCTGCGACATTCTTGTTGCTGATGCAGGCTCCTTATGATAACTGATAATTTGGGATGGGATTGGGTCAGTTTGGCACTAGAACTTGGAAATCATGTAGTTGTTTTTTTGCCATTGAATAGCTGTGTTAATCTGCTGTGTGCAGCAAAAATAACAAAAAAGGTGGGGGCTTTATATTAAAGTGTTATATTAAAACTGGAGGCACAGTTCACCCTTGCACTGTAAATGCTTCTGGTACAGGAGTAAAAATGAGACCTATAAGCAGGAGGCCATTCCCCTTCTCTTTGCACTTGTTTTTGTTTAGAGGATTCCTCCTGAATGGAAGGGGCAGGTCCAGAGCAGAGCACTTTCCCCCCCCCCCCCCCCCCCCCCAGTAGCAGGAAAACTTGGAATTTCCCAATAAAATTAATTCTGGACACGGAGAAGAAAGTTCTTCTTCACACTTAACCACACCTTGCAGAAGCAAATTCCATATGGTGTAAAGAGCCACTAGCCAAATTGATTCAACAGCTATTATGCATGAGAATGGTGGAAGATTAGTAGGGCTGCCAAGTGGGGGGCAAGTGGGCGCTTTGGAGGCCCGATTTCCGCCGCTGCTGAATCAGGCCCCGGGGGGAACTCCGCCCCCCCGAAGCGCAGCATGGCTGCGTCACCAGAGGTGACGCAACCACGTTGATCACATTGGGGGCGTGGCCCCGATCCTCGGGGGGGAAACTCTATGGTCTCCCCTCCGATGATCGGGGCCACGCCCTCAACGAGATCGACGTCGCACATCACTTCCGGTGACGTGCTGGTGGCGCGTGCGCACGACAAGGGACAGCTCCCGGAGTGTGGCGAGGCTCCCCTGCCGGTGAGTAAAATTCACTTGGCAACCCTAGAGATTAGGGTTGCCAAGTATGGGTTGGGAAATTCCTGGATATTTAGGGATGAGCCTGGAAAGGGTGGAATTTGGTGAGGGGAGGGAGTTAAACTGACATGTGATGCCATAGTTCCTCCTCCAAAGGGGCCATTTCCTCCAGAGGAATTTAATATGGAGATCAGTTGGAATTCCAGAGGAACTCCAGGCCTGACTTGTAGGTTGGCAAGTTTCATATTTTACGTGGCCTGGGACTGACATATTTGAAGGACCACCTCTCTACATATGTGCCTCATAGAGCCTTGTGCTCACTGGATCAACACCTACTGTTTTTCCCGGCCCAAAGGATGTCCACCTAGCCTCGACCAGGGCCAGGGCTTTTTCTGCCCTGGCCCCAGCCTGGTGGAATCAGCTCCCACTGGAGATCAGGGCCTTGCGGCACCACTTACGCCAGGCCTTTGGGTGAGGTAGCAGGCGTCCATCTTAGTTGGCTTCCCTGCTCTAGTTCCCAATCTATTGAAGTACTCATTGATTCCACCTATATGACCCTAACAGTATTTTTCTTTTTATGTGATTTGTCCCTTTAAACAGGGTTTGCAGAAAGCCCGAAAAACAGTTAAGCAGCAGGGAACAGCCTGCTCCCCCACCGCTCAGCTGTTTCGGGCTTTCTTGTGCAGTCCCCTTAAAGTTCAGCTGTTTTGTGGGGAACAGAAAGCAGGGGCTTAAAGAGGCTCTGAGTCCCTTTAAAAACCCTTGTTTTCTGCTCTATCTGTGAACTGCTTTAAAAGTCTGGAAGTTTGTGACAGTGGACCCATCGCAGACTTTTGGTTTGCAAACAACAAATGGCAAAAATTGTGATGGATTTTGCTTCATGGTTTGGTTCATGCCCAACTGTAGTGGTACGTGAGTTTAAGTTATCCGGCAAGCAGAGGCCTGATTTGGGCTGTGGTGGATGGGAGTTTTAAGCCTTCTGCCATATTTGTCACTTTCGCAGCCTCAGATTGGCCCAGGGAGCTGCTGTTTGCCGTGTTGTTACAAAAATATCTGTACTTGGCAGGATCATCTAATAGGGACATCATTTGTATCTCTGGTGTTGGAGTTTCCCATTTCTGATTCTTGAAATGAATTGCTAACAGAAAAACTGCTCACAAGCATAGTGGGGAGGCTCCAAGGCTTCACTCCTCTCTCTCCATCCTCTGTTTTAAATGTAAATGGGTCAAATGCGTGTTTGTTACCTGCATGTCTAATTGGAATTCCTTGTTCACGGAATTCCTTGGTCACGGATATAAGGCTTGACTATTCCATTTTTTCTTTGCAAGGACAGGATCTTCTGAAATGGATGTGGTGGATCCTTAGAACCTAGGTTCATCCCAGTGGAGGCAAGGCTAAAGGTAAATGATTTGAAAGAGAAGAATATGTCTGACAGTGGCAACCCAGGGTAGTTTAGTTAATCATAGAGAGAAGACAATAATCCATGCCTGTTGGCCTAAGCCTAGTTCTGCATTCTGAGCCAGTGTTCCCTCTAAGCTGAGTTAGTGTGAGCTAGGTCACAGTTTTTTAGCCTCCAGCTCGTACATTTTTGTCTCAGGTCAGGAAGGATGGCTCCAGAGCAAACTAATTTATGCAGTAGCCAAATCACTCGTTCACAACTTTAATGCCAGTAGCTCACAAAGTAGAATTTTTGCTCACAAGACTCTACGGCTAAGATGGAGAATTGTTCTGAGCCTGGACTTCTTGAAACTTGGATAATCAATTGTGCCTGGATCACAGTGGCCAGTGCCCCCAAAAGTGTTCTACACCCATATAAGGGCTTTCTTTGCCTCATGCCCACAGATGCTTATGAAAATACTCTTGAGTGAGCTTTCCTCGGCTGGTGTATTCAAAGTAAGTTACACAAGAATCTTTTGTCTGATGCGTTATAAAAGTCCTCAGTAGCTATTTTCTGGCTTTTGAGTTTGAGACCTTGCTTTTAAGCTGGTGGGGAGGTTGGCTTTTTGGAGCTGCCTATTGCATTAACCATAATCATGTTTGCCAGCTCCTGCTTTGGATCCATACACCTCTCTCATCTACAGACTATCACACAGTTCCCATAGTGCAGCAGAAAGGACTCTGAGAGGGAGAGAGCTTAGACTATAGGGAAAATTGGTAGAGGAAGAGGATTCTGGATGTCTGATTCTTTTTTTCCTGGTGACAGTTGTTGGTCAAGCTGCCTGAGTTTTGATGTGAAATCTTTCCTTTCAAAAGGCGGTCTAAAGGGCAGCAAGTCATGCTTGGCAGAAGAACCGGGTATTCTCACAACCAAAGCTACATCTACCAACCCCCTCAAGATGTTGTGCCCCAGAGGATCGAGACTCCTAAAGCTGGTGACATCAGTCTCGAGGTGTTCAGTGGCTCCACGCCAGAGCTCAAGCAGAGTCGCAAGCCAACCCGGGAGAGGCGAGCTTGCAAGGCCGATCCCAGAGACTCACATGGAAGGGAAGGGGAAAACGCCAGCTTTATCTCCAGCACTGCAGAGACTTCCCAGCCCCCTTGTTGCCCCACCCTGTCTCGGGCCTGGAGCACTTACAGAACCATCTTCTGCTATATTGTGACTTGTGGGGGCTGCTTTAAGGACTGCCAGGCCAGCATCCCATACCCTTACAATGAGACTTTGACAGATGATGGGAAGTCCCGGGAGTGCAATGGGCGTTTGCCAAACAATCCTGCCAGTAGCTCCCCTGCTGAAAAGAATGGGAGCCAAACCAAAAAGAGCACCGTGGGGAGCAGCTTCAGCTACCCTGATGTAAAACTGAAAGGGATCCCGGTCTTCCCAAACCGGAACCCTGGTTCCCACACAGACTCAGATTCGTGTTACAAGGAACCTCTGCCAGACAAGACCTCCCGTAACAGCATAGAGAAGCAACCTCTGCCAAGCAGCCATCGAAGCTCGGAGGAATACTACTCATTCCATGAGTCGGATTTTGAGTTCAGTGAGCTGAGCTCTATGTCCAGCAGGGAGATTGATGTCCTAATCTTCAGGAAACTGACGGAGCTGTTCAGTGTACATCAGATCGATGAGCTAGCCAAATGCACTTCGGACACAATCTTCCTGGAGAAAACCAACAAGATCTCAGACCTCATCAGCAGCATCACTCAGGACTACAACCTGGATGAACATGATGCTGAATGCAGACTGGTCCGGGGGATTATACGCATCAGCACGCGCAAGAGCAGGGTCCGGCCCCGCATTTCAGTCCCTACCCTCCCAAGCCCAGAGGAGAACACAATGCGCTGCAATCTACCCGATAGTGGCAACGAGACGATGGTGGCATCAGTGCTCACAAGTGAAGAAGGTATATGGGCAGCAAAAATGACTGGGTGGGTGGGTGGCATCACATTTCCTCTGAAGAAGCCTAAAATGTGTAGTGTTTGTTATTCAAGGGGAGTCATAGCAAAGGCTTATCCAATGAGTGCTGTGGAGAGATTTTTATCTCTCTTTGCTAATACTAAGGCTGCATGGATTGACTGGTTGTTGTTTTTTAACCGTTCTGAACTTCTAATCAAATCAGACAAAAAGAAATTCTTTGCATAGTGTATAATTTAACATCTGCCATTCATCAACCCAAGATGAGGTGGCTGCTAGCTTAGATGGTGTTTTTTTTTTTTTTTAAGGATTAGACCAATGAATGGGAGGGAAGTCTATAACAGGTGTTGGGCATGACTGCTAAATAGTGGTATACCTCTGAATGTCTGTTCCTGGGAACAAACAGCAAGGGAGGTTTCTTGCTTTCAACCCCATGCTTGTGGGCTACCTAGGAACATCTGGCCAGCTCCTGTTGGGAACATAATGCCTCTTGAGGAACCTTTGCTTTAGTCTAGCTCTTTTATTCTTATTAGATAGGTCCAAGTGGGATCCAACTAATATGTGTGTCCCCCCTCCCCCCAGTCCGAAGCAATGCGTGGGGGGGGGGGGGGAATGAGGGAGCAGTCTCCCTTCAAGGAAACTTCTCTTTTCACAAGACTGTCATACCTGCCTCCTTCATGTTGGAGAAAGCACATTGCAAATCCTTGAAAACAGGATTGACTTGCTTTATGCAAGACCTCACAAGTCATGAACACAAAGGGAAGCCACCTTCTTTCAGCCCCACAAACTTCAGTGTATAGATAGTGCAAGCCTAAAATAGGGCCTAGCCCCTAAAATAGGGTTGTCATAAGAATAATTAAAATGTATGTAAAACACTTTCTAAATTGAAAAGTACTACCTGAGCACAATAACTAAAAATCTGCAAATTTATCACACGGAGAGTAATGTATACTACATGTGTTACACATGCATTCGTTTGGGTCACTTGCATTTACAAGCTGGTTTACTAGACACAGACTCCATCCTGCATTGGCAAACATGGTATTTGCTTCTGTCAGGGGGTCCTCTGTGCTGGGGTATGCCTCCTGTCCAAAATGAAAAATAGCACAGTGATAAAGCAGCACAATGGGGTTATCTGATGGGATACTGATAAGCTGGGTAAGGCCAAGAGAATTAAGGGCTGTGCTTTATTCTCTTCACATCCCACCTTTCCTTGTGCCACAAAGCAGCTTATAAATCACAATTAACACTCACAATTTAAGCTAACAAAACATAGCCCCTTTTCCCAAGAGATCCCTACAGTTTATACCCCCTTAAAAAGCCCTGGCAAGTAAACTGACTTTGCAGCATCTCCTAAAAATTTCTGAAGATGGTGCCCCACTCACCTCCTCAAGGATACAATTTCACAAGATAGGTGGCAACCTGTGAAGACCGTAGTTGGTGCACAGGGGGTATATACAGGGGTCATTTCCTGCAGGAGCGCACAGGAGCAGAGCTCCGGCAGTAAAGAGCCCAGGGGCGGGCACATGCAACAAGCCCCGCCCACTACTCTGAGCAGCCCCGGGCCACAAGGAGCACAAGGATCTGTGCGTCCCCCCCCCAGCTATCAATCTAAAACAGTCTAGTGGTGCCTGAGCAGTGGGTGTTGCCTTCTGACACTTCCGGTGATGCCAGGGGGTGTGGCATATGCAAATAAGTTATGCTAATGAATTACACTAATGAGCTCCTGCACCTCTTTTTCTGATGCACTGGATTCAGCACTAAAATCCCCCCCCCCATTTATGCAATTATTCTAGCATTACTCCTTGGATGTAAATGTGTCTGACTCGCCTAAGCAGGTATGTCCTTGCAGCACAACTTCCCAGATTTAGGCATTTATTGGCTTTGATGTATAAAGACCTCTTATGCAATGCTGGGTTGTTTGTTTTTTTGTGTTATTGGAGATGAGGGTGTTCTCCCAATAATCCTGACTCTCTTCCACTTTGGGCCAAATTTCAGTGGGATCTGGTACTGAGAGAAATGCAATTTGTTCTTCCCAAGAAAGAACATTTTGGAGACAGACTTTCTCAATGAAGCAGAATAATCTTTTATTGAATACACTTCTTGCAAGTAGCAGGTGTACAGCCCAGAGCACTGAACTGGACACACTTTGATTCAGTTAATCAGCCTAGATATACTACCACAAAAGAGGTATGGAAAATAAGAAACGCCCTATTTTGGCCACCATTGGCTGGTAACCAAAACTTACATTCTCCAATCACGATCGCTTAACTACACCCTGTGACGACATGCCCCTGATTACTCTTAATTAATGCCAACCCACAAATATATTAAAATCTGTTTACTTATTCCAAAAGAAAAGGTCCTGACTTTCTCTATTAACATTTTTTTCGTAACACAGTACAAGTTTCGCTTCTTAAGCAATTTTGTCCATCTCATGGGGTAAATTTGCAGTCATCAGCTTCCTGTCAACAGGTCCCAGACAATGAGATGTCCATTCTTAGCTTGTATCTTAAACCACCACCTGCCCTTACGAGATCGCTTTCCCCCATAAGGGACTTCCTCCTTTTTATGCATGCTCAGCACTTAAGCTAGAGGCGTAGAAATAAGCCAAGAAAGTCAATCACACATTAAATTTTATATTTATTCATTCTTTTGATTAACCCAAGCATTCACACTCTCCGTATTGCTTCTTTTTCTACATATTATGCTAAAAGCTAGGCACATCTTTCTAGTGGCCATGCCTTAGAAGGCATGTTACCTTTTTGAACAACTGCTTTTTTTTTTTTTTGCCTGGTTGTCTGGTGTGTGACTTGCAATTAGCTGACATAATGCTATCCTATTTCCAGAAAGTACCCTTTTGAATTTTAGATTGCTGATGTCTGGGGATGTCTGCTTTGGTTCTTACCAAGACCCACTAGTTATACAAATCCCAACAAGCTTAATCTTTTAGCATCAAGCAATAAATTGATTCTCATTAAGTGTAAAACTAACGCCTTCCAGTGTTTTTTTAGAACTTCCTCTTTCCATCTTAGTGGCTGCCCTTGTGTTTATCAGACAGCATTCTCTGTGTGTCTGCTTTGAGTTTATTTATAAAATAGAGCAGAGCCTGCTAACTTGTCTTTAAATGCTTAATCCTTCAGACTTTTATCAATAACAATACATTTGATTATCATTCAGCGTTAAGCAAAAGATCTCTAAGGTTTTCTATCAAAAATCTCTATTTCCATTTTTAACAGTACCAATAGGGAAGTATTTTTAAACTCATAGCGACGAGTCCACTGACCACTTACAGAATCTTCCCAAAAGAATTCCTTTAGTGGAGTGTAAAATCTTTCCCACCCTGGTTGCTTAGCCTGTGTGATTACAAACAAAGACAGCCTGAGCTCCCAAAACTTGCTTTCTGTGTGTACCAACTCCATTCATCACAAACTCCTCTCTTATTTTCCACTTGATAGTGTTTTAGCTCTTCATGTGGACAAATTGAAAATGTGTTGATCAATCTGTGTGGACCATTCCCCCTTATTCTTAGTAAAAAGCCTCTCACCAATAGTTCCCAACTATCAGTAGGCGTCAGTGGTGTTGGGTTCCTTAGGATCCATTGCCAGTATTTGCCCATATAATTCCAGGTGTTCTAAGTACCAAAACAGAAGACAAAGAATTATGAAAAACACCAATAAGACTACACAACACCTCTCTTCATTAATTACTTCTGAGGATGCCATTCACTGTACATAAACCTGCGGAGTCTACCCAGCCTGCAGGAACTGCCTGCTTTGGAAGGGATGAGAGAAGAACGAGACCACCGTTCACAACACTCTCATCTCATAGAGTTACTAAGTTCCTGCTGGGACCCTCCCCAACTTTAGCCTCTCCTGGATCACCTAGGCTGAATACAAGGGACCCACCCCCAGCTACTCACCTAGGCCAGTGCGCACTGACTTGCGTGACCCGTCAGGACTCTAAACCCTGGACCCACCCAGGGTGTTGGAGCTCCATATTTCTCGAACAAAGTTCACCCTGAGTCTCTCTTCTGGATGTCCTGTCACCCCAGGTCAGGGCCGGCTCCCAAGAGAAGTCAGAAGTCATCACAAACTTGGGGAAAGAGAGTGGCCTGGGTTCGTGATCTGTGCTTCTTTTATATATATTCTCCCAGCATGGGAAGCTTGCAGGAGCCCTTGGGTGCTCTCTTGTGCCACTGTGATGCAAGCACACGTACCTCCTTCCTCGGCACGACTGGATAAGGAAAACAGCCTCTAGAAAGCACTACGTTAAGCAACTGGATCCATTAACTGAGGACTAAGAAGCCCAGGGAACCTACCTTCCTTCCTTCCTTCCTTCCTTCCTTCCTTCCTTCCTTCCTTCCTTCCTTCCTTCCTTCCTTCCTTCCTTCCTTCCTTCCTTCTTTTCTGTCGACTTATATCCTCCCAGCATGGCAGGCTCAGGGCGGGTTACATCAGATTTGATAAAAATACAATATATACAATTAAAACACTAGTAAAATACCACAATAACTTTCATCCGGTGCCGTTGCCATTGACATTAAAACCTCACAGATGCCATCTCTGGTATGTGGCTCTGACCCACTGAGGGGAGGCCCAGTAAAGAGAGAGGGATGTCCGTTGCCCTGGTGGAAGAGCTCCGTCTGTAAAAAGGTCCCACAGGACCCTAATCTTGTATGGGAGCTCATTCCACCAGGCAGGGGCCAGGGCTGAAAAGGCCCTGGACCTAGTTGAGGTGAGACAGACGTCCCTGGGGCCAGGGACACGAAAAGATGCTGATTGGCAGATTGTAAAGCCCTTCGGGGCTCATAGAGGCAAGTCTTGCAGATATGCAGGCCCCTGGCCTTATAGGGGTTTAAAGGTAAGCACCAACACCTTGAAATGGATCCGGTACTCAATAGGCAGCCAGTGCAGTTCACGCAGCACCGGGCAGATGTGGGCCCGCACAGGCAGCGACATCAGTACCCGTGCTCCTGCGTTCTGCATCAGCTGCAGTTTCTGGAGCAGAATCAAGGGCAGCCCCATGTAGAGAGAATTCCAGTAATCTAATCTGGAAGTGACCATTGCATGGGTCACTGTAGCCAGATCCCGGGGAGTGAGATATGGGGCTAACTGCCTGATCTGTCTCAGATGGAAGAAGGCAGACCTGGCAGTAGCAGCAACCTGGGCCTCCACAGTTAGCGAGGCATCCAGGAATACTCCCAGGCTCTTCACCTTCGGCACTGGCACCAATAAGGTCCCGTCAATGGCTGGAAGCCCAATCCCAGTCCCCCGTGACCCAGGTACAGGACCTCTGTCTTCGATGGATTCAATTTCAGTCTGCTCTGTTGTAACCAACCAACCACGGCTTGTAGTGCCCTGTCCAGATTTTCTAGGGCAGAGTCCAGGTGGCCATCCATCAGTAGATAGAGCTGGGTGTCGTCCGCATATTGGTGACAACTGAGCCCATACCTCCGTATAATCTGGGTAAGGGGGCGCATGTCTTCCGTACTGCAGAAACTGATATGCTCAGTTCACTGGAATAAGCCATGTTCTACACATATGATAAACCAGGGTTTAATCTCTGGGATCTCCATTTAAAAGATGCTGGATGGCAGGGCTGAAGACTATCTTCAGTTAGACTCACTTTTGGGACTAGATAAATCTGAGGATGCTCAGCAAGATGGCCTAGTGCAGGTTTCCATGCAGGGCAATTCTTTGTATCAGTCATAAGCCTTAGGCAGGTTGAGGTTTTTACCCATGGAAACGAAACTGTGGGGGGGAAATTCATGACCCAAGGCAGGGGTCTTCTGTGGTTCCTGCAAGGACAGTTATTGACTTTCTCTGCCTAAGTGGCTATAAAAAAATGGCTATTCCTTGCTATGGGGCACCTCTCAGGGGCACTTTCAAATCTATTACTTTTTTTCCCAGCAAAAAAATAAAAATAAAAATGTGGGGGACCAGAGAAACAAAAGAAATGACAAAAGATTCTGAAAGGATATCTGGCTGGTGTTGGCTTCAAAGCAGTGATAAAGTCACTTCCCTGGGAACCTGCAAAGCAAAGAACTAAAGTCCACAACTGGGCCATTCCATTGACATGCTGCCCAAGTTTCTATTGTTCACTCTCTGTTTTCCAGCTGCAAAACTGGAAGTTGGAATTATTCCAGGGATGGTTGTGGAAATGAATGAGGGGAGAGTGAGTTCCTGACAGGTGGGAGACCTGTACATCTCAAATGAGTTCCAGCTGTATCGTTTTTTAGTTTTTGTTTTATTGGGGGGGGGTGCATGTGTGTGTGAGCCTGGGCTATCCAGGTCATGTGCTTGTGAGCCTGGAAGTCATGGTGACTTCTGGCAACCCCTAGTGGGGCTAGGTCGTTTCAGAGAGGTGGCTTGATATTACCTGCCTCTGCATTCCAGCCCTAGTATTCCTTGGAGGTCTCCTTTCGAAGTTCTAAGCAGGGTTGGCCCTGCTTAGCTTCCGAGATCGGGCTTGCCTGGGCTATCCAGGTCAGGGCCTGTATTGTTGATCTGTGTCCTGGACTGGTTGAATTTTTTTGCTGACAGCGTTCTCTGCCTCCACCCTCCCACTGTAGCCCAAAATGCTCCTGAAATGCTGTTCCTGGGGGACAGGGGACCCACATTATGAAACCTCACAGTTGGAGGAGTTGGAGGGTTGCTAGAAATTTGGGGAAACAGGTAGAAATCATCCCTTTATGCACACAGATCTACTTGATGGGATCCAGCAAATTCTATTTATCTTTCATGTGGCATACACATTTCCCCTTCCCATTCTTGTTTTTGCAACAACCTTGTGAGGTAGGTTAGTTTGACAGGCTCAGGGTCACTTGGTGTACTTCACAGCTGAACGGAGTTTTGAACTGGGGTCTTCCAGGCCCTGGTCTTGGCTCTCTTAACAACTATACCACATTGGCCTAAGGGTCATGGTACCTAGGAGTTGGTATAGCTGTCATATGTTACCCACCAGCAAATCAGACCTGGGTTGTGCTTATGTACCTATAAAAATGTAATGTGTGGAGCCCTGGCCTGGATAGCCCCGGCAAGCCCAATCTCATCAGTATGGTGTAGTGGTTAAGAGCACAGACTCTAATCTGGGAGAACCGGGTTTGATTCCCCACTTCTCCACATGCAACTGCTGGTGTGACCTTGGGTCAGACACAAGTACTGTCAGAGCTGTTCTCTCAAGAGCAGTTCTCGAAAGAGCTCTCTCAGCCCCACCTACCTCACAGGGTGTCTGTTGTTAGGGTTGCCAAGTCGAATCTTCTTACCGGCAGGGGATCGTCGCCGGGCTCCGGGAGCTCTCCTCTGATGCGCGTGCCGCCAGCATGTCCCGGCAGTGACGCTCAGCATCGATCACGTTGGGGGCATGGCCCCGATCGTCAGAGGGAAAACCATAGAGTTTTCCCTCCGACGATCGGGGCCACGCCCCCAACGTGATCGACGTGGTCGCGTCACCTCCTGTGACGCAGCCACACTGCGCTTCGGTGGGCGGAGTTCCCCTTGGGACCCGATTCCGCGGCAGCAGAAATCGGGCCTCCAAAGTGGGGGTTTACCCACCACCCGCCCCCACTTGGCAGCCCTATCTGTTGTGGAAAGGGGAAAGGAAAGGGGATTGTAAACCGCTCTGAGACTCCTTCGGGTAGTGAAGGGCAGGGTATAAATCCAATCTTTCTCTCTCTCTCTCTAATTCATCTTGGAAGTTAAGCAGGGTCGACTCTGGCAAGTACTTGGATGGGAGACCTCCTTGAAATACCAGCAGTCGGGAGGTGGGGGCAGGCTTTATTCAGCCACTGCTCCGAATATTCTCCAGGCCCCCAGTTGGGGTCAGTCACCCGAGGTCACCATGACTTCCGGGTAAACACAGCCAGTCTCCAGAGGTTGCCATGAGTTCCAGGTACACACATACTCATACACATGCGCGCACACACATACATGCACATATGAAAAATACAAAAAAACCCCAACCCAAAATGTAATGGGTCAGAGTACACATCTCGTCAGTCTTTTTATTGTATACCTTCCAGATTTGTCTGTTCAGATTTCTCAAGAAACCACGGCAGATATGAAAGCCAGGGTCATGAGACACGAGGTGTACAACACAACAGGTAAGACACACGAACCTTTTGGTCTCTTTCTTTCCTCTTATTTAAACAAAGATTGAGTCCAGTGGCACATTTAAGATCAACAAAGTTTAATTCTGGGTATAAGCTTTTGTGTGTGTCAGGTAGCCCTGTCATGGTATTGGAATGGGAGGGGGGATATTATCTCCCTCCCGTTCTCAGCGCTTCTCTGCCTAACGCTCCACTATCTGCACATTGGCCTTAAAGATGCTTTTCTGTAATTTCCAAGGCCTGGGAACTGTAACTGCTTTAGGCGCAAAATTGTTTGCTTGCTGGCAAGGCCCGCATGAGAAAACTTCATTGGCTTCGCAGGTGGGGAGGGGGTGCTGTTTGAATCTCCCTTATATATAAAAGCCGAATGGTGGTGGCACTTCTCTAGAACATTCCACACGCTCCGGAATTGGTTGGCGCCCTGGTGTGTCACTCAGAATCTGTCCCTATCCACTGGCTGCATTGCATGAGTCTTGCCTCTAACATTCTAAACAGTTTGCTGTTCCTCTCCCCCCCATAGCCAGTCAGAACACAGAGATTATTTGCATATGCAGCTTCATTGGCCTTTGCCTCGGAACACAGAGGTCGTTTGCATATGCGACTTGATTGGCTTTTGCCTCTAACATTCTAAACAGTTTGCTGTTCTGAGATAAAATGTGTTCAATCTCCAGGTGAGGGCTGGAGATCACTCAGAATTAAAACTGCTTTCCAGATGGCAGAGATCAGTTCCCCTGGAGAAAATGGTGGGCTCTGTATCCTTATATGCTGCTGAGGTGGCCCCTGTATGACAGCCAATGTGACGTAGCAGTCAGAGCTTCAGAGCATGGGAGAGGCTGCAGGGGTGTGGGGGGTGGAAAGCTGAAGAGTGAGAGGAAAAGGAAGGTAGGTTGGTGATTGGCTGTGAAGGAGACAGGGTTGCCAACTCCAGGTGGGAAATTCCTGGAGATGTCAGGGATGGAGCCTGGAGAAGGGTAAGGTTTCAGGAGGCGTGGGACCTCGGACAAGTACAAAGCCATAGACTCCACCCTCCAAACCAACCATTCTCTTCTGGGGAACCATCACTGCCAATCTCCAGGTGAGGGCTGGAGATCACTCAAAATTACAACTGTTCTTTAGGTAGCAGAGATCGGTTCCTCTGGCGAAAATGGTGGACTCAGTGTCATTATACCCTGCTGAGGTCGCCACAGCAAATTGACACTGAGTGTCCAAGGCCGGGGCACCCACCCAGAGCCTCTTTTTAGAGGCCGTTGTATTTGTAGAGGCCTTTTTCCTAGTATTCTATAAGTTAGTGGCCATCTTATTACAGGTCATTCTTAACACAGGCTGTATACATGTACTTTAGTTCTGCGTTACCATCATAAACACTTATCTTCTGAAGAAGCCTGGGTGTGTGGATTACCTGCCTAATGTTCCTGACAGTGCGCCACTGGACTCAAACTTTGTTCTGTTGCTTCAGACCGACACGGCTACCCACCTGAATCAATTTTCCTTTTATTTGTTTAGGAAAAGCATGTGCTGAAATCCTGAATGCCCTCTTCTACCCCTGTAAGATGTATAGATCATTCCCTGCGGGGCCATATAGTCCCTCTTTTATTTAGACTAACTATAAATATTCCAGCGCAAGTAGTCTGTACTGTTCACATTTATTTTGGTTTGGAGTTGGAATAATATCTAACAATCTAAGGGCTTCACAGAGCAAGGCTTTCCACTTCCTTCTCCTGTGATCCACTGAGCCCCTTCCCCCCCACCTGAAATTGGGAAGGGGGGAGGGTTCTGGCTGATTCTTAGGACCAGCAGTGGGGCAACAACTGGGGTCTGTAGTGGAAGGGAATAATCACCATCCACTT